GCCAAGAGATTCTGTTTACAAGGTGAAGGATGTGTTTGCTCCTCTGCCGGTTGACAGTCTTGCTTGCACAGTCTCCAGATTAGCCCGAGGCGAGAGAGCAGCCCCTTCCCAGGTCTTTCCGGGGCCCTTCGTTGAGCTCCCCAAGAGTGACACTTGGCTCCCACAGACTTTCAAGAGTTTTTCATGTGTTATTGTCAACGGCCTCGTGTCAATTTATAAGGTGGGTACTAAGAATACCATTTCGTAAATGTGACAGATGAACCATAGAGAGGTGAAATCGCTTGCTCAACTCCTCCCAGTTATTAAGAAGGTAGGAGACCTGGGGCTTGAATAAATCTGTATGGCCCCCCAGTATGCATCCTTTTCACGGCACAGAATTTCCCCCCGGCTTGCAAATCAGGGTCCCGTCGCAGGCATGCTTCGTGGGGACATCCTCGGGAGCATAATTCAGAGGGGAATCCAGGTTCTCCAACTCTTCCTTTTTGCTGGCCCCTCCTAAATCTTACACTTAAAATGATGTCCTACAGATCATGACCAACCGCTGTGGGGCACTGGTGTGGGCCGCACTCCCCATGCCAGCATGCTCATGGAAGTGGCGCCGTGAGGACTGGATCGATTCCTCCCTGCCCACCCAGGCATTCATTTGGAGTATTCCACACCCCCGCTTATGCTAATGCTAAACTGTCACCACTAAGAAGAAAATTTGTTATTTACCATAAATGATGGAAAAGCTCACTATCAGCAGCTAAAACCATGCCAGGGGCTGACTACGGAACAGACCAACGATTGCTCATACATAAGTTCAGGTTCAAGCGGAGGAAAATTAAAACAAGTCCCTAAGAACCAAAACATGGCCTTAAGCCTATCCCACCTGAATGCTAAGAGCCTCTCAAGATCAGATTTGCTGCACTGAACACTAATGACAGAAGAAGCGCTGATGAGCTGTGGGCGGACATCAAGAACAACATTAGTGAAGCAAGCAAAAGGGCATTAAAAGACAGGAAAGAAAGAACAGCTCAAAGTGGATGTCAAGGGAGCCCAGGTGGTGTAGCGGATGAGGCGTTAAGTTGCTTACCAAAGTGGACGTCAGAAGAGACACTGAAACTCGCTCCTAATCATGGAGCAGCTGAAGCACATGGAAGAAAAGGAGACGCCAAAGAGCTAAATAGAAAACGTCACATGGCAGCTGGCGAAGACAAAGCCAAATATGAAATGATGAAATGTGCAAGGACCTAAAATCAGAAACCCAAAAGGGAAAGAACCTGCTCAGTGTCTCCGACACTGAAATAATCCAAGAAAAAAAATTAAGCCTTGAGGTACAGTCTGGAGAGATTCTATAGGAAAACTATTGAGTGATGCAGGAGCATCGAGAAGATGGAAGAAATACAGATGATAATCCAAATGTCGTCTCCTTACCAGCCACGCTGCCTAAATGCTTAGTTTTCTCCACCCTTTTTCTTTAAAATATCAATTTATTAGAATGTGCTTTTATGTTAGTTGTCCGTTGTTTGATATCTGAATCCATATTCTCAGGGACATAATACTGTGCGATATTCGACATATCGTTTCAACTATTTTATTTCAGTGCCTTCTCTTGAGGTCTGTCTTCCAGAGTTTATTCTTGTCTTATTGTGGTTGTCTGCTTCAAAATTAGGGCCTCTGGCGCTCTTCACGTGGATCTTTGTTCCTGTCTTCAATGTTCATTGCTGTCTCTTGAAGTCTTTTCATCTCTCCCTCTCTTTTCTTAAAGTTGGAATTTCACATACATATCATATCATTCCATAGTGCAATCACATCAGGTAGATTTGCACAACTGCTCCCACAATCAGTTTCCAAAGATTCTTTTTCTCCGTGCACTCCTTAACATCGTCTCCCTTTTACCCCCACCCCACCCCACCCCGCGCCTCCTCGGCCCCTTATTCTACTTGCTGTCCCTGTCGGTTCCTAGGTTCCTCCACCCTGGGTTTCATGTACCGAGGAACGGAAAGGCATGGAACACAGCTTCACGAGGGGGACCCCAATGGCAACGCACCTCTGAGCGACGCCCTAATAGGAGCAAGCATAAGCCAAATGAAACACAGTGTCCATCACAGAGTTGCTGGAATAACACGCGTCTTAATACAGCATGTAGGGCGTTGACGTAGTAAGACCTTGTGTGTCCACCCACCGGCGGTACACCATTCTTGGTACAGCTGTCTCCTGCTTCCTCAGACACCATGCATCTTCCGACTCTGCAGTAGAGGCCAGTTCGCCCGGTGGCGTTCCTGCATGGCGTCTCGCCAGTGCGGCCTCTGGAGCACGCCAGGAGTCCCAAAGATCAGTGTCAGTGTCCCAGCATTCCACGGCACCTGGCCTGGGTTCTCAGGACACCTGCACCCCCACACACACACCCTAGTTCACTGTTGCCCACCTGCTGCATGCCAGTAAAGACACACCCCCACCTAATGGCCCCAAGAGCAATCTCAGTCACGCCTCCCCCACCTGGGGGTCAGCCCTAATCTCTCCATTGCTCATTGACGTTCAGAATTATTATTGATCTTAAGCTACTACCTGGTGAACTTAGTTGCACCTGTTTAGGGTTCATTTTTTATGACGTTTTTTTCACCATTCAGGTGGTTTATTATGGACATTAACATGTTACCACACGTCAAGCTTAGCAAACAGTCAGGATACAGCTGTTGGCCCACAGCAACCTCGCTCCTCAGTCAGCAGTCTGGTCTCTTTCTGGACTTCAGGCCCTCGGCCATGTGGCCTGGCCTTGGCCTTGGCCTCCATGGGCCAGAAAGCCAGCCTACGCTTCCACCTTACAGCCCCATAGTCTCAGTGCTGCTCCTCCTGCTCCGTGCCGGTCTCCAAGCCACTCCGTGTCTCGGCCTCCACTCCAGGCGGAGACCTGGAATGCGCCCTTCCAATGCTCCTGGGCTGTCCCTGGGTCGGACATGGCACTTGTGCAGGGGATGGTTTCGATAGAGCTGTGCTTTTGTCTTTTAGCTCACCACAGCCGTCCATCCAAACACGCCGTAAGCAGGACTTGCTAAAACGCAATGTGTGGGGCTGGCCCTAGGGTCTTGTTGTTTCTGCAGGCTTCCGAAAGTGGGCTTTGCCCCAGCACATCCGGGTAAGTGATTTGGAGCTGGCTGATAAGCGGGGCGGCCCACGGACACCTCCCACCAGCTGCTCAGTCCTCATTTTTAAAATAACTTTTATTTCTAATTATTTACTGAGTTTTGTCACCTCATTAATGTTCTTTCAGATCTTGAATTATTTTTTCTTATTCTATCACTTATTTTCACTATTGCTGCTGAGAATGCACACAACAGAGCACAGTTGACACAATTTCTACATGTACAATTCAGGGACATCCATTACAGTCTTCGATTTGGCAACCATTCGTGCCCTTCTTTTCTGACTGTTATATCGGATTTTCTTCAACATATACATTGTTTGG